AGACTCAAACAAACAGATTTAATAGATTTTATTTGCGAATACAAACAAACAAACTACATTGAATACATTTAATTACTGGCACCTAAGTGATCATTTCAGATTTATTGATTAATCTGGATATGACTATGATCTGTCATATTAGTGCTTACTCCATTTTGCAAAAACCCACTGTACATAGAGTTTGATTGATTGATTATATAAAAAAATCACTTTTTGGCTCCCTTTTCAGCCCTTTTGTAGTTTGCTATCACGCAGAAATCACACCTCTGGGAAAGATGAGCAGGCAGCGAGTCCACACATGTTACTCCCACGTTCAATGAGGAAGTATCTGTAAGCAGAGAACCTTCTGGTTGGTATACATTCAGTATTTTTCTGTATGTGATTAAATAGAAGACTTACCCGTCAATCCCCCAGGTGGGTCCCCATGAGTTCTTCACTATCCAGTAAGGGGAGCCATTTTCCTTTCCATACCCGACAGCTAACACAGCATGGTTCACCTTGTCTGTGGTTTTATGGCATTCAGTGCTGAAAGCAAGAAGAGAAGTAAGTTGAATCCAGCTTTATATACATGACTGTTTTGAATGAGGAAGTAAACCTCCGCACTCTTGTTTTAGTTCTATTTTAATGCCAGCGCAGTGTTTGTGTGTGTCTAGCTTGCATTACTTAAAGAAACATAGCCTTTTTCTTACAGTGGTATCAGTTTACTTAAGGTTATCCAGTTCTGATAAATGAGAGGAATGGTTACTAAGACAGAAATAGATAATATTTCAAGGGTGTAAAATGTCAAATAAATAGAAAGACCAGTCTGTCAAATAATGTATAATGTCATTATAAAATATAATCCTTGATGAAACAGCTAAAAAGAGAGGGAAATTTAGCTGTGAGTCAAGATGTTGTCATATATTTTTGAAATGAATACAAGACAGATACATTCTCCCAAATCTAAGCCGGAAGGACTGTAAAATATACCTGAAAGTTCAAGTAAATGTGATATTTTTCTAATATATACTGCTATGAAATTTTAACACCAGGTGAAACAAGATTTTCCCCCTCATAAAGCAAACTCTGTTTAATGTTTATTAACCATTTAGTATTGTGTATATCCATGAAATGGACTGCATCTTTGAGTGTAATCATGAGTGTAAAAAAGCATAAAAACTGACAGAGACATATGTTTTACAAACATACATGACAACTTTTCCATGACTTCCCCTCACCTGGTATACACGCCCTGGTAGTAATGCATGAAGTCAGAGGTCACCTCAAATGCAAAGCTGACAGGATTGCGTGTGCCGACTGCATCGACCATCCCCATCTCATCGTACTGTAACAGAATGACTTAATCACTCACAGGCATTTAATAAAAACATCAGTCTTAAAGAAAAACACTCATGTTCACTCACTGCTGTTATGTTCACCACATCCTTCACAAAAGCTGCTGCCTGCTCTGGTTTGTACACACAGTCACCCTCCTGAATTAACAAAAACAAAAGCCATTAAATATGTTTTAAATATTTCAAAGTCAGTTTAAAATTTCTTTTTAATGTAGGATGGCAAATGATTTAGTTACAAAAGCTGTGTATGGGTAGTCCTCTTCTGTCATCAGTCCCTTGTTGTACATGATGTATTCAAATGCTTGACTTGGGAGGCCGCTAAAAGACAAAGCCAAAGAGCTTGTTATAAAAATGTGTCTACAGTGATACACACAGAAGTAGTTACAGGAAAATTATCAAAAGAGGAAGGAAGGAAATTCATGTTTGGCTCTCACCCATTACATCCATGGTTGTTGAAGTTCTGGGCGCAGTCTACCATCTGTTGTTCTGACTAAGTATACATAAAAATGAGTTACAGTAAATACTCTTTACCCTACTATCACAAATGAACTACTATTATAAACAAGAGCAGCAGTTTTGATAGAGAAGGAAAAGAAAGTCACCAGTGGTACGAGCTTCCCAGTTTTGATAGCGATTACAGACTCCAAACAGCCGGTTGTGGAGAAAGTCCAGCAACTGCCACATCCTCCCTTTGGTGCAAATAAAACAAACAAACAATAAGAATATTTCTGAGTATTTTGTGAGATTAAATGCAAGTATCGCAGTAGAAAAAGCACAGGTGGAACTAGTAACATTAACAATGGCACCAGTCCAAAAACTAATGCAAAGCAATGCAGCAGTTAATGATATTATAGCAACACCTATATAAACATACTGCAACACACTAACTGTAAACTGTTTATATCCTTATAGTTATCAGTCAGAAACTCTTTGAATCTGCTGTGTTACCCGGCAACAACATAAGGTGACCTTTGAGATCAGTAATTGAAAATAAAATGTGCGTGTGGATTAAACTTTACCTGATTCTTTACAGTTGTCACATAATTTCCTTTCTTTCTCCAGTCGATGGAGTCTGGATGTGGTCCGTTGCTGCTGAGGAAGTTCCCCCTGGTAGCGGAGCAGTTCTGCAAAAGGAAGTAAAATGTAAAATACCTCCCCTCGCTGTCACAAAAACAAAAATTACTTCCTATATGGATGGCATTACCTGTGGCTCAGACCAGAGGAAAGTCTTTCGAAATTCACCAAATGTCATGTCTGAAAACTGGTTCAGCCTCACTGCAGGAGGAGATTAAAAAAAGGTCAACACATTTAACTATGGAACATATGAAAAGAATAGTAAATGCAATAAGAAGCCATTCCTACTTGTGAAAGAGTGATTTCCTTCATTGTGTTTGTCAACCCTCCTTTTGTTGTCAGTGAATATCTGGAGTCTCTCATAGTACTCCTTCATGTCGTACACTTTGTTGTGCTGTACATTGGAGAGAGTGCTGTTAACTTTAAGACTAATTATGGGATCAGTTTATAAGCATGTAGCTCACATTAGAGCTTCACTCTTGTCGTTAAGTAACACTGGCTGTGATTTTTCACTGCAGATAACTTCCTCATAACCACATACTGTATATGTTCCCCAGCGTGAGATAAAGCGATATAACCTACCTGCACCATCCATGATTTGAAGTGAAACTCGTCTGAAAACAATTCATACAGTAAAAACTTAGAGATTTAAACAATAAGAACAAACAAACAAACATTTAAAAACGTAATTTTGCAGAATATGAAAGTGAAAGTTAAAACAAATGGTACAAAAACGAACAATAACAACATCTTACCTTCAATCACATGAAAAGCTGAAGCTGCTGACAGTAAAGCAAACAAAAACAAAGTGTTCATAATGATCACTTATTAAAACTTTCAGCCGGTGACACGGAGAGAGGAATAAAAAGCGGAGTGAAGCAGATCACGAGGTGAACTGCTGCCTATTCAGAATTCCCCTACTTAAAAAAAATAATGATGACTAAATCAACCAATCAGTGTCAAACATAATACCCATAAGCTAAATGCAGTTTTTCGTCGCTTGTTTTTTTCTTAGTTTAGGCAATTTTTTTAAATAGTGTTTTCTTTTAGTTGACCTGCAAATCTTGAACCACTATGATGACCTAGTCTACATAATAATAATAAAAACAACAATAACAGCAACAGCAACAACAACAACAACAACAACAACAACAACAATAA